GCACTCTGATGCTCAAGCTATTAATGTTAAGAAGATGATAATGTGTTGTGTCTGTTGAGAATTACAGAGTGTGTAGAGTTTGCACTCATCCCTTTTTTATAGGGAATACCTAGGTACCCAAGATTGGCTGCCCTAGTTGCCCAGCTGGCAACGGTAAGCCTGTCCAAATGTCCGAGTTTTGATCTTATATGCTTAGTGTTCATCCTTATCTTATTTGATATTATCTTTATGATCATTAGACTCTTTCTTATCCTTAATTAGTCTATGTTTACTTAGGTCTATGTAGTCATTTGGTCTCATTCTTTTAAGTTGTAGTGGTTGATGTTCATAGACCACAACTCCTCAAGTCGTCCTGCTGGATATATATCACTAATCCTTAGCAATTTAGATCACTTATATTGGAGTAGTTCACTCTAATGTCGGGTCGTATGACCTATTAGGTGTTATTTTCCACGTTAACTCGCTCTTCGTCCATTGGCTACTTATGTCGTTCGTAGGCTATAGGTCGACTTAGTGGTTATCTTTCCTTAGGTCGTCCTGCTTTATATTTGTAGGTCACTTTTCTTAGGTCATCTTGTTGTGTATTTGTATGTTGTTCCTTAGGTCGTCCAACTTGATGGTTAGTAGGTCCCCAGATATATAGGTCTCTGATTTCAACTTTGAACAGCTCGCAAGTTGGGTTGAACGATGACTTATTTCAATATTCTAGTTTGAGCAACTGTTTATGTTGGCTAAATTCTCGTTGATTCCAACTTTGAAAAACTCATAAGTTGGGTTAGACAAGGAACCAATACAAAAGTTTTAGCAGTTTGAACAATTGTTTATGCAAATAATGTATTTTTTTTTTATTTATTTTTTTGTAAATCGGCAATATTTTGGGGGTATAACCCAAAATAAATTATTAAATCACATTTATAATAGGTTTTATATGTTCATTGTTCAATGGCATGATCATGAGTTTTGTTAGATGATTGGGAATTAATCATGATTTATCAAGAAAATCTATAAACGAGTACATATTGGGCTAACTCGTATTTAAACAAGGCTGGATAATTAATTCATTCAAAATCTAATGAAAGAACTAATGGACTTTATGGACTTTCAGCCCATTATAAATGTTTGGAAACTTCAACCCTCATATCGTGTACTGAGTTAGGACACATTTATTTATATTTATTGTTCATAGAAAAAAAAAATAAAATAAAAATAAAAATAATGTACCCTTACATATGATTTCATTGTCTAATTATATTTACAAATATTTTAGTATGAGTCGGCGCAGCCGTTTTGAGCGCAACAACCTCTAATATTTTTTAAATAAAGTAATAAAATTTAATATTTATGCTATAAAAAATATCATATTTTTATTTATTTTGTATTTTTATTAGTGTGACATTTCAATTTTAAATCACGTATATCTGTTGAAAATATTCGAATATTTAAACGTTTGGTGAATCTAAATCTTATTATTATTATTATTTTTATTGTTATTATTATTATTTTTTTTTGTAAAAAAAAAGAGGCTTGAAGTCTATGCGTTGACTACGATACGACGAGGATAAGAAATCCCAAGAACATCATGCATGAGCCAATCGTTCAAACTCGGAGGGAGATAAGAAATCCCAAGAACAATAATATTTTTATTGTTATTATTATTAATAAATCAACTAGGTGTGTGTAGTTGTGGATTCTTGCGACTTTTATGGCTACTCTAGACTCTTGACTTTCACATATATATGATAAAACGAAGTAAATAAAACTAGTAATATAATGGACTTGCTGCCACCTATATACCTTCATAAATTTTCATTTAAGATTTGGAGAGCCAACTTTAGTTGGCCAACAAAGTTAGGTTTCATAGGAAGAAATGAATAGTGAGATAAATTATTGTGAATGACTATAGTCTCGTTACAAAACCATTCTATCGGTATTTTTTAACAGTATATATTAAGGATAAATTGGATCACCCTATTATGGGGTGCTTCACGCGCATGGGACCACAATTGTTTCTCTCGATTCTTACATGGTATCAGAGCCTCTTACAAGTTAGATATATTTTCTCTTTGAGGTTCTATCCCAAAAACAATTGGTTAATGGGAGGAGTAGTCCATTAAACTTATAAGTTATACTTATTTTTCTTGTATAAACGACGTGAGACAACTCACAAATAGTATTATAGTGTAATAATCAAAATAAAGTTCTTCCCTTATACAAATACACTTCGTTGGTAGTAAATATTCTATAAATAACATAACAACATTATGACAAATTTTGAAGAGTTTTGCTTTTGCAATCAACACGCTTTGTTATCAAGTTCAATAAAAAAAAATAGTAATAATTATAATAATAATTGAGGAGATGTTACGGTCTCGTTACGGAACTATTCCGTCGGGATTTGTAACCGTTAGATCAACTATCCCTGACGGTTACATGATAATATAACGGTTACAAATCCCAGTAGAATGGTTCCGTAACAAAATCGTAATATTTCCCTAATAATTGTTCCGCTTTTGGAAACATGTTATAATAGCAATTCAAAACACAAATCTAAAAATTACGCTTGTTTTTGAATGTTGTAGAGACGAACCACCTTTTATACTATTTTGAACGTCCCAAAACCCGTTCTACACTAGTTCTAAATCAGTGTATCTCGTAATGCACGAAACGTCGACGGATAATCTTTGAATCCACAAACTCATAACTTAATATGTCTAGATACATAGTAAAATAGATGAATCAAAAAAGTTAAAACGACATTTATTTTAAAATGGAGGTAGTATAAAATATATAACAAAGTCTAAGACATGTAAATCATACTTTCCTTTATTTGTACTGATTAATGCCTATAGTTATTGGCAAGAAAAGTACATTGCAGGTGACGCGTGACGGTTCCAACATTTGTAGGCAAAAATTCAATTTTGGTTCGCTAACTTGTTCATTGTCTACTTTTGGTCCGCTAACTTGTCCTTCATAAAAAATGGTTCATTATGTTACATTTTTCATTAGTTTTAGTACACTACTCCAGTTGGCGGGATTACGAGATGATGTGGACCGGGATTGGAACTACGTGGAGGGATAAGATGTTGACGTGGTAGGATAAAAAACTGATTTGGCATCTCGTAATCCCGGGCCACGGGATTAGCGTGCTAAAACTGATGAAATGTGTAACATAATGGACCTTTTTTGATGAGGGACAAGTTAGTGTACCAAAAGTGGACAATGAACAAATTAGCGGACCAAAATTAAAGTTTTGCCAACATTTGTAAATAACCGTCGATCGTGTTGCAAAGTAGCGGAAATTTGTAAGACACTATTTGGACGCGAAAGGAGAGGAGAGGAAATTGGTAAGACATATAATTTTTTCCCACCTTCGTTTTTTTATTTTTGTATTTTATTTTTAAGGGACGAAATGTTGTGTACTTTTCACGACGATCGGTTTTGTGTATTTTTTATTTCATTATTATTGTTTTTTTTTTTAAATTTTAGGCCAAAATAATCTATTTTGGGCCCAAAATTGAAAAATAAAAATTAAGCCCAAAATGAAAAAGATAAAAATCGAATGCCTAAAACAAAGATTTTGGATTTAACCGGTTAACCACTAAACCGGACCGTCCAATGCTGTCCGAATTGTGGCTGGTTAAAAAATAAAACTTGTACAATAAAAAAAATTAACCGTTAGGTCCAATTTAATCATGGTTTGAGCTAAAATCGAACTAATACGGACCGTGAACACCCCTAGTATGCCCTCAATGGTGAAAAAGAAAGAGTGAAAGACCCAAGATGAACTAAAGTTTGGATCTTTGGTCCTCATGCATACTGTTGCAAGCTAAAATCCAAATGGCAACATCTAAA